CTCCCTCCCTCCCTCCCTCCCTCCCTCTTTCTCTTTCTTTCTGTCTCTCTCCTAAGACAGGGTTTCTCTGTAGCCCTGGCTGTCCTGGAACTCACTCTGCAGACCAAGCTGGCATTGAACTCAGAGATATGCCTGCCTTTGTCTCCTGAGTGCTGGGATTAAAGAAACGTGTGTGACACCACCTCCTGGCTTCCAGATCAACTTTTAATATGTTCCTTTCTTATCTAGACAACATAGTTTTGAGGTCCTTCCATTCTATTTTTTCCTTCTTATTTTCAATAAAAGATTTGGTAAAAAAGATAGCAATAACTATGCCATAACCTATAACTATGCCATAACTATCAAGTCTTTTATTGGATATTTTCTTTATTTACATTTCAAATGTTATCCCTAGTTACCTCCCCTTTGAAATCCCCTATCCCTTCTCTCCTCCCCCTGCTTCAATGAGGGTGTTCTCATACCCACCCATCTACTCCTGTCTTCTCACCCTTGAATTCCCTTACACTGAGGCATCGAGCCTTCACAGCACCAAGGGCCTCCCTCCCATTGATGCCTGACAAGGCCATCCTCTGCTACATATGTGGCTGGAGCCATGGGTCCCTCCATGTGTACTCCTTGGTTGGTGGTTTAGTCCCTGGGAGCTCTGGGGGGTCTGGTTGATTGATATTGTAGTTCTTCCTATGGGGTTACAAACTCCTTTAGCTCCTTCAGTCCTTTCTCTAACTCCTCCATTGGGACCCCATTGGGGACCCCATGCTCAGTCCAATGGTTGACTGCAAGTCTCCCCTCTGTATTTGTCAGACTCTGGCAGAACCTCTCAGGAGACAGCTGTATCAAGCTCCTGTCAGCATGCACTTCTTGGTATCCACAATAGTGTCTCCGTTTGGTGACTGTATATGGGATAGCTCCCCAGGTGGGGCAGTCTTTGGATGGTCTTTCCTTCAGTCTCTGCTCCACACTTTGTCTATGTATTTGATCCTGTATTTTGTTCCCCTTTCTAAGAGAGACTGAAGCACTCACACTTTAGTCATCTTTCTTCTTGAGCTTCATGTGGTCTGTGAATTGTATGTTGGGTATTCTGAGCATTTGGGCTAATAATATCCACTTATCAGTGAGTGCTTACCATGTGTGTTCTTTTGTGATTGGGTTACCTCACTCAAGATGATATTTTCTAGCTCCATCGATTTGCCTAAGAATTTCATGAATATAGAAAAGTCCTTTCCCAGAGCATAGTGTGAGAATCCTGTAATCCGTTTTTTTATAATGTCCTTTTCCCATCTGAAGCCTTGTGAGTACAGTCTTCACTGGGTGACTTTGTGCAGATATTCTAGTCACTGAAGCTCCTGTTAGATCAACTGTTGTGCTTACAGCATCCTTGGACTTCTCTAGCCTGCATCTCCAAACTCCCTACCAACATAGAAGTTCCAATGAGCTAAGAACTGCACGATCAGGTTCAATCACATTAATGACAGTTTAGAGGGAAACACATTTATTTGACTTACAGTTTTTTAGTGTTCAGTCCATTATGGTGGGGAAGGCATGGCACTCTGTTCATGCCATGTTGGGCCTGTACTAGAGCAAGAAGTGGCCAGAGATACCCTAAGGACTCATCTCCAGTGGCCCGCCATCCTCACCTAGCTTCTGCTTCCTAAAGCCTCCAGAATCTCTTAAAGAAAACAGTGCCACTAGCTAGGGATAATGTGTTCAAGTCATGAACCCATGGGGGACATAGAATCAGATCATAGAATTAGCTAGGAATAAAGTATTATCAGGGACAGTGAGATGGGCCCTATGGCCTCCACATGTGTATGCCTTCCTAATATAAAAACATAAAATCTTTAACAAATACATTTTTTGTGTTATTCTTGCCTATATTAGTATTGCTGTTAACAGAGATATAAGTTTGGTTAATATAATTTAATTTATGTGGCAGCCTAACTCCTGAAATGTAATTTTCTTAGTATTTACTTCTCTCTGATATAACTTATGCTGTTTATAGAAATGTTAGAGATATGTGCATGGTACATTTGTGTGACATCCCTGCTTGGAGGTCAAGAGAGTCATCATTCACAGAGTGTAATCTGTGTCACTTGTCTTTTGTGATGACTGTGTTCTTCTTTTTTAGGTGAAACAGTTAATATTGGAGATGTGTCCTACAAGCTGAAAACTCCCAAGAATCCAGAACTTGTCCCACAGAACTACAGTAAGAAATGTTATTTGTGAATGAATATATTTGAGAATTTCATTGTGGGCATTAAAGAACATATATAAGTTAGAGTGGCTGGTGTAAACCCAGGGTGCCCTCATCAGTTTCGTGCTGGTCTGTACTACACAGTGTTTGTCTTGTCTTCTGTCGTGGACTTTGGAGTGGGGAAGCCTGTGTGAGGCATCCCTCTCCTCACTTGTAGCACAAGTGTCCATGTGCATCACATACTGTTGTATGAACATCAAGATCACTCTCATCACCTCTAAACATCTCGTGTCTCTGCTTCTCCCTGCACTGTTCTCTTCTCTGCCATCATAAGTCAGTTGTACTTATTTTTTAGCTTTATAAAAAATAGTATCATTATGATATGTATAAGTGTAAGTCTATATGTATTTATGTTTGTGTATGTGTGTATATTTATGTGTGTGTTCATGTTTGTGTATGTTTGTATGCTTATATATGTGTATATATATGTGTGTGTATATGCATGATTGTATGTGTGTGCATGTTTGTATATATATGTGTATGTTTGTGTATGTATATATGTGTACATGTGTGTATATGTATTTGGTTTCTTTCCATTAAGAAGATGAATTTGAAGTTCATCCATTTTGTTGAACCTATCTATTGTTTTATTGAAATTTAATCCATACACTATATAGATCACATTAAAAAAGGTTTATTTTATGTGTATGTCTGAGCATATGCATGTGCCTTTAGAGGGCAGAAGAACATTAGATCCCCTGGAATTAGAGTTATAAGTGATCGTGATATCTGTGTTGGGTCTGAATCTGGATCTTCTAAAAAAGTAGTGACTGATTTTAACTACTGAGCCCTCTTTCCAGCCCCAAAGTCTACTCTTTTAAATAACCATTTAGTGCAACCAGTATTTATCATAGTAAAAGACCAAACCTCAACAATAGGGTCTGAGAAAGTTCAGAAAACCAGCCAAGAAAACAGTGAAAGCAGCTGGAAAGGCTGGAAACAAACACTGCTCAGAGAAGTTTTCTAGCATGGTAGGAGGCAAAATCCCTTTTAAGAGAGAAGGAAGCCTGTGAGTTAACCATAGGCAGGTGCTGGAGCTGCCTCAAGGTCTCTGTTGGACTGCAGACTGAATGAGTGCACAGTAGCAGCAGCTTCTCCCAAGCATAGCACAGTTCCAGAGAGAGCCAGACAGCCCAATGCAGGTCCACAGGAGAAAATCCCGCAATTGCCTAGAGAAAGGGTCTGACTCTGAAGTGGGTGGAGTTTTAGTGACCCAACAATAGCACCTGCTAGACCAAACTAAGGGGGTGGAGTTAGTCACAGACACAAGCTGGCCTTAGAAGCCTGCAGATTTCCCCAGAGCTAAAGTGAGACTGAAAAGCTCCAAACTTCTGAACTAGTAAAGTATTATTAAAATAATAAAAGAGAAACAAAATTGGGTCTAATCCATAGAAAAAATATTTTAAAATCGATAAAATGAATCCTTAAAGAGAGAATTTAATACATTTAAAGAACTAAGACACATAAAGATGAGAGGCACAATGACGGAGCTTTTGGATTCTACATTATGCCATTTTGGATGGTTTAAGTAGAGAAACAAAAGAGGGATAAGTGACTTAATTGGACAAGCCTTAGAAGAAAAATTAGAAAAATTTATAAATAAGAAATAGGAATAAAGAATATAATACAGATACAAGAAGAAAAATATGAAAAATGGCCTTAGAAAAAATTAGAAAAATTTATAAATAAAATTCAGGAAGCTATTAAGATAAAGACAGAGGATTAATAAGGCCTACAGCACTACTGTCTTAGTTAGGGTTTCTGTTTCTGTTAAGAGACACCATAACCAAGGAAAAGATTTAATTGGTGCTGGCTTACAGGTTCTGAGGTTCAGTTCATTATCATCATGGCGAGAAGTATGGCAGTGTGCAGACAGGCATGGCATTGGAGGAACTGAAAGTTCTGCGTCTTGTTCCAGATGCAAACATGAGAAGACTAACTCCCACGTGGCTAGGTGGAGGTTCTCATAGCCCACTTCCACAGTGACACACTTCTTCTAACACGGCCACACCTACTCCAACAAGGCCATGCCTCCTAATAGTGCCACTCCCTGGGCCAAGCATATTCAAACCACCACATTCCACACCCTGGCCCCCATAGGCTTGTTCAAACATGGGGGCCAATACCTAAACATAGCATAATTACATTTACATATATAAATAATTACATAGCAACATACATTCAGTCCAGCTTCAAAAGTCTCCATAGTCTATAGCAGTCTCCACAATGTTCAAAGTTCAAAGTCTTTTCTGAATGTCAGTCTCTTAAGTGTAATCCCCTATGAAATCAAAATCAAGCAACATACCTCCAACACACAAGATATTTAATACCATCCAAAATTCCATAACAAGGAAATACTGGACGAAAGCAACACAAAAAAACCAGCTGGGCAAACTCCAAATTCTACAGACATGAAAATGTCTCTAGCTAGGACTTCAGCTAAGCATAGCCAGTCAGTCTTGTTGTCTACAGATGCCTCAGAACTTATCATGCCATTCTTTCAAATGGCATAGATTAAAAAAAAATTACAGTTCGGTTATACAGTCCAGACTGACTTATAAAGAAAGATAACTTACCTGCTCAAACAGAGAGTAGGATGTCATATTTAGTTAAATTGTATACACTGCACATTCCATGCTTGTGTAAATGCAAACATGTGTATTACCTCTAAAAGCTTATATGTACACAGAGAAAAGCAACCAGACAAGCAGCCCTGACAAGGTTCACCCTTGGGGATGCTGAGAAGGATGCTGAGACATATTTACTCTACCATCCTGCCATATCTCATCTCAGACTGCTTTCATAGCTGTTTCATCGAAACTTCCAAAACAGCTTCAAAGAAAGCTGCCAACCTCAACTAGTCTAGCCTTCCAGACTGTTCCAGCCAAGATTTCATTTAAGCACTGAAAATCGGACAGAAAAATGTTACAGTTAACTTTCTTAAGACTAACTAATATCCCAGTTTTCTTGCCTTCCCCCACAAAAGGACAAACTATGCCCCTAATCAGAAGGAAGGAATTTTAAGAGAGTGATGCCTCATTCCAAAAAGGCAGGATGGACGGTTTTTGGTCATTCATTGGGTTATGATCATCATTCAAGGGGAGTTGATTGCAAGTTGTTAAAAGGTCTTGGTCAGGGAGGAAACAAAATAAGGGAGGTTAGATTCAGAGATTTCTTTTTTTTTCTTCCTTCTGTCCTTCTTATTCTAAGGGGAAGTGAGGAGTGGAGAAGGGATACAACGAAGAAAGGAGGGATATAGAAATTATAGTATAAAAGGGCAAATTATTGTTTCCACTTTTAAATCAAAGAACATCAACAAGGCAAAGATTGTAACATTGGTGTAGACTTTGTGCAGTGATACAGTTGTAAGGTTATATTTTGCTCTATACTACTATGCAATTCTTAAAAATGCCATGTGAAGTTCTAGTCCTTTTAAAAGCTTCTACTACAAACTGTTTAGGTCAATTAAGGAATCTAAGTTAGTAGTCACACAAACTTACATTCATGTTAGATTCTAGTTTAGTTAATTACAGAAATATGCTTCTAGGTTGAATAGATAGTAAATTGCTAGAAACAAACAATTCAAATACAGTATAGACAGATAGATGGTCTCACAAACTTTAGAGATCTACAGAATTTAAAGATCTTTCATTAATAAGAGGCTTTTTTGACAATAAGACAGGTCTGCTTCTAACAGCTCCCCTATTCTGCTTCAGTGAAGATGGTGAGCATTGAAAAATCTCCTTATGAGTTTGCTTCTTGAGTGGCAAGCTAGCCATTGTTGGGGAACCCTGCTATTAAGGTAGCAGTATTTCCATGACCAAATGACTTTCTGAGCTTGGCACAAAATGGGGGACTCTCTTTTTCAGCAGGGCTTCCTGTCCTACCTCTGGAGAGTGTCCTTGAACACAGATATCTGGCCTTGTCTGAAAAGTGACCTTTTACAGAGCTCTCTGCCAGACTGCATAACTCAGTACACAAGTCCCATTCTGGCTTCCCACCTGCATGATAATTAGATGCTGTATTATAACCAATCAGCTCTTCCAGCTCACTTGATGCTATGACCAATTAGCCCTTTCCCCTCATCCTCCTATAAAAGCCCGTATACCCTATCTCTGAAATGATAAAGTATACTTGTCTCCCTGCAGCAGTCTCCCTCCAGAGGTCATTTCGTTATACTCATGGCCCTGTGAACCCTGCTTCTCTCCCCTGCTCTCTTTGTCCCCTCGGGCTGGTGGCCAACATTATCTGAGGAGAAAAGTAGGTGACAAGCCACTGGACAAGAAACTGCCCGTGTCTCAGCTCATGATAGCATGCTCTCCAAACTGGACAGTTGAGATGCAGGGAAGTTGATTGCCAATCTTTGCCAAGACAGGGTAAGCAGTCTTTCATATTTCCTGCTTTACAGAAAAGTCTGTCAGATATTCTAGGCCAGAAGGCTGAAGATGAGGCTCCAGTGACTCAGAGAAGTTTTGGAGGACTTGAGGCAGACAGCTTTCTCTGCCATTTTTACAGTTATGGAAGCTGCCTGCACTTCCTGCATACTCAGCTAATGTTTACTTCTTCTCAAGTCTCTGATGGCGTTGAAGGCTAGATAGTTACAGTCTCACAATTAACCTTAAGTTGTTTAGGATTTAGGAAAGTGTTTTAATGTCCAAGATGTTTCTATGTTGGTAATGCAAGTTACAATAGAAACTGATTTAGGTACAGAACTTGAAATTCATCAAGATAGGATAGATAATGGAATATTTTCTCCAAGATTGCCAAATACATAGGAACTGGACATTGTACATGTAATCTTACCTTATAGTTTTATAATTGTTGCTGTTTATTATTGAAAGAGAACTAGCCTTTTATTGGGCTCAAAGGAGGAAATGTAGAGAATCTCTTGTGTATTGTATGGAAGCATCACCTATCAACAAAAAGCTGATTAGCCAATGAGCTGAGGCAGG